AAGTCAGCTCTCAAATAAACTGTCTCTTTACATGACTGAATACCTGTTTCGAAGAAAGAAAGGATCACATGCAAGATGCTACAAGAAGCAACATTATTTTTAATAATTTCAAAAATTATTCAGTGAGTAGCAAGTTAACAGCAGACAGGTCATTAATGAAGTCCTAGGAACCACATATACCACTGCTAAAATTTATCTGTTAAGACAAGCGCCAGTAAGAGCCTACCAGTGCAAGCAGGGTGCTTTTCGTTAATGACACCATTTACAGAATAGGATACAGCCCTCATAAACTTGTTCATAGCTCACCTTTAGATCTTTCAGTGGTATTTCCAGGTACTTTTGTATTGCATGTGACCATATAACTTCAAGATCTGCTAATACTGCAGTGAGGGAGCCGCCAGGTCCTGGGTGTAGATTCAGCTGCCCTCTCCTAATTGGCCAATGTATATTATAAGAATCTAATGGATTAACATACAGTGCCTGAAAATAAGAAATGAAGTTATTTCCCTCCCAATATTTATAATAAATAATAGAAAAATATTTCAGAAACTGACAGAACTTCCCGTACAGCAGCAGTGAGACCAATGGGATGGCAATATGGTGTCTTTCTTTTTAGCAGGGCTGTATTGTCTTAAGACATTCTGTACATGGTTTAAATTATTTGAATTTTCAAATCCATGGATATAGAAGATGGAAACACTTAGATAGGAAAAGACTTTCTAGATCATTAAGTACATAAAAGTGTCTTTTTTTTTTGTTATCTCACTAATAGCTAAATTAATGTAAAAACTCTTGAAAACTCATGAATACCTAATTAATCAACAGTAATTCCATGCACTGATCCTTTTTTCTCAGTTTCCTTCCATGCATCTGATTTATACCACGTAGGTAAAGTTCTCACCTGCAGTAATGGCCACTTACAGCAACAGTGAATCTACCCCACTGCTTCTACTATTAGAATAAAGACTTAAGAATATTCAGACATATCTTTTACTTACCCTTGAAAATTACACTGCATGAATCTTTGAAAGAAATACAGTTTTCCCTGCTGTTTAAAATACCTGGTCTAGTACTAAATGTGGACGTTGGTGGCCCTGCCTGTGGCAGTGGGGGTTGGAGATTCACGATTCTTGAGATCCCTTCCAACCCAAGCCATTTGGTGATTCTGTGAAATAGATATATATTTCTAGCTAGGCAAGTGAGGAAAACTGTCTGGTCTTCTTGAATAATAACATTCACTTAGTCCCAAGTTAAGCTGCTCAGGTTCTGTTTGATTAAACTTAGTCTAAATTGAGTTCAAATTGCTCTTCAATACACAGTTATATTAAAGGATAACAATAAGCCTCATTTCAGGTAGGAAATAAATCTTACCTCCTCTCCTACCAAAAACTCAGGATGATTAGAGGTGTTTGTCCACTTGGCCCCAGAGCTGTGATCTAAAATAGCTGGCCGCATCTGTCTGTTGTATAACCTGGCCTGAGATGTAATCAAATCAAACATTGTTTTTACCAGGCACTTTCTGTGCATGGAAGCAACAAACAAACAGACAACCCCCAGCAATCCACGCTGAAAATCCATTTTAAACCTTCATCTTCTTAGATCTTTGGAGGTAAGGTACACAATAACACTATTCATATATACTTTATACAGAATATTTTTTCTTATGTGTTAACATGAGAACACAATTTATTACAATTTTAAGAGGAGTTACCTGGTCAGGTGACACTGGGATACGTCTGGCACCATTTGACATCTTTTTGGACCATATTGCTTGGTCCACCATTTTTAGGCCATTTTGTCTCTGCTCTGTACTTTCAGGTTTCTAAGCAACAGAAATAGCACATATCATAAACACTTTGTCGCGCAGCCTGAAAACTGGTAATACTGAATTAAATTAGACTGCGAACTCATTGCTGAGGTTACTAGACCGCGGGACGGAGGGAAGGTTTGTGCATCGGAGGTCCCCGCGGCTCCGTGCCAAGCTATCCAAAGCCGCAACCCAAACAGCGCTCGGCTGGCCGGGGCTCCGCGGTGCAGCTTACATTGAGGCCGTCCCGCAGCAGCCAGCTGTCCCGGTACGCCGCCTGGCCCTGCTGCTTGTGCCGCCGAGCGATGACGTGAGGGATGCCCACAGGCAGCGTGTCCGTGGCCCTCCCGAGTCGCAGGGTCGTGGAGCCGGGGTGGATCACCACGATGAAGTTGCTCTGGATTTGCTGCAAGCACAAAACGCGGGCGGTGGGCGCCCGCCCCGCGGCGCTGCCCTCCCGTCCCCGGCCGGGCCTTTAAAAGGGGCGGCGCGGCCTCACCTCCTGCAGGGACTCGGGCACGGCGGCGGGGACGATGGGCCGCTTGCCGCCGCGCTGCTCTCGCTCGCGCTCCTTGTCCTTGCCGTTCTCCGTCTCGCCTTTCTCCGCCTGGGTCATTTTCCCGGCCCGCCTGGCGCCTCCGAGCTGGGCCCGGCGGCGGCACGGGGCGGAACGGGCGGGAGCAAGGGAGGCACCGCCCCCCGGATAGCTCGGCTGGTACCGCGGGGCGGGCGGGGTTCGAGCTTCTCTACGAGCGGCAGGCGGAAGCCGACGCGTTCATGAATCCGCTGGTAACAAAGGGACGTTGCTGGAGGCGATAGTTAGCTGCTGGAGGCTGTTAGAAAAACCAGGTGAAAAACTGAAAGCGGCACTTCATAGAAGTTAGCTCCGTCTGGGTTCTGCTTGGCGGAACCGGCCCGCTCCCATCGACCAAACAGAGCCCGGAACAACGATTGAAGGTCGCAGCCCATGCAGAAAAGCAGTGACAGGGAAGAAAATAACTTGTGTGTTAGTGCTCAGTGTTACCGAGCAGCTTTTCTTCCTGTAATGAAAATGAAACCTCATTTTATTGCAAGTGTCCTATTTGCACAGAATATGCACGTGTGTTGAGAACAGAAGAAAGTTGTTTCATGAGTGCTTATGAAGTGGGAATGTTATAGAACCCACAATCGGGCTTTAAGGAAATGAGTCTTTTAAAATGGAAGGACCGTTTAAAACAAACAAACAAACAAACAAAAAAACTAAAAATGCATTTTACAAGTGTTTTTAGCACATCATTAATATTATAAAAACACGACAAGAACCAGTAAAGGTTCCTTAAAACCTTTAAGGAAGCACTGCTTTAAGTGATTTTTTGAGTGATCTTTGGTGTCGTGTAAGTATTACATATTTTTCCTCATCTGACCAGAAAGGTGTTCACTGTGCTTTGAGTAGAACTTTTTGGTTGTCTAAAAATTAAGAGCCAGCCTTCTGACAAGCCATATATAATTTATTTTGCAACTACAGTAAAATGTTCAGAAACTATACAAAGACTTTAGACAGACAGTAAACATGTATTTAATAACACTGCACTTCAGTTATACTGGATCCTTGAAGGATTTTCCAGTACAACTTCATTAATCTGCTTATACTGCAGAACAGTTCTTAGTTAGACACGCACATTCACAACGTCCAAACTCATTTGGTCCACCACTGAACTCTCTTCCCTTTCTTCTTGCAAACATGCATGCTCCTTTGCCTGCCTCTTAGAGCAGGCATTTACCTAGAAAGACAAAATAATTGCATCATGTTTAAAAACAACGTCTTCATTTGCAAGATATAAGTAACCATCTTAAAATAATACTGATTTTAATTTAGCTAAATGAGACCTGCCAAAAGCTTGGAATTCTCATCCTGAGCAGATTACACACCGTCATTTTCCCCCAAAAGCTCTCCCCACTGTCTCTGCTTGCTTCATGGCTAGTTCAAAAAGAAAAAAACTAATCCAAATGAAAAAAATACATATATATGAAGAGGCATTTATTCCTTTTTTCCTGAGGACACTGAAATATAAGTGTGCAATGGTTGGTTTTGAGTATGAAGTTTTTGCCACAAGATTCACTGTATTACCATCTGCATGCGCATTTTTCTTTCAACTTTTGTTTCAATAATGAATAATAATTCATGAAAAGAGCAGCTTAAGTCTTAAAGTAAGTTAAACCATATATACATTCAGTTAGATGAAAATCCCATCATTTTAACAGAATTCATATTTTCAATTACAATTATTATGCAGTAGCAAGAAATGCAACGTTAGGCTTTTGAAAGGTTTTTCCTCCCTTTTTAAGCAATTCTGATTTATGCTATATTACAGTTTGAGATGTGCATAGCTATAGTACTCAGTGGAAGAAGTATTTTAGTAGCAGATTTTTTTTTAACAACTTTTCCTTCTTTCCATTTTTAGGAATCCCCCTTAAAGAAAAAATATCATCTGTAATATGTTAACAATTAGAAAAAAAACAAAGTTTCAGTTATTACTGATCTGGATAGGACTTAATATTAGCAACCAAAAAAGACTGAGTGCTAAATCATTTTTTATCAGCTATGTTCAAATATCTGTTTTATGCTTTGTATACTAATTTCTATGTAATTACAATTAGAAGCTCATCACTTCTGAGCCAAAACTTTATACTACGCTACTTCACACACACTTTTCCTGTTAATGAAATATCTATCCACTTCTACTGTTCCTGTCTTGGTAACTTATGTAGGTGCAGCAGAAATGCTAAATCATGGCTTTAGGCAGTGATTGAGCACCTGGTGGGAAGGCAGGGCCAACCCAGGTGAGCTCAGGTGTATGCAATGCAATTGAAGGGTGTATGCAACCTCATTTAAAGGTTGGCAGTGCAGGCAAGGATATCTTGCTGGAGATCCCTACTTACCTGAGACCTTTCAAGTGTAAGTGATTTTTTTTTTTTTCTTTGCTTCTATGTGTACAGCTGTTGTATATGAGCACACCCTCACTTGCTGCAGTCTAGAACTCTGCTATTATTGCTGTGTTTTCTATCGCATTACAGCTTTACAGTAGGATAATGCTCAATAATAACTCAATTCTACCTTAAACTCTATTATTGCTGTTATCTCTAGGAGTTGAAAAAAAAAAAAAAAAAAAAAAAATTAAAAAACCACCTAAACCTGGATTGAGGAGATAGGGAATTACCTTCCTCATCCACCTCCAGCCATTGGTGGTGGACTAGGGCCTCCACCCCAGTGATTTATTCTTCCCATTCTTCGGCGAGGATTTCCTGGAGGCCTATAGAAAAAGCAAGAAAGGCAAAATCTATTTAATAGGCATTCTGTTAATTTAGAAATATAAAAACACTGTATCTAAACTATAGCAATTTGATTGATAAAGCCTTTAGAAAGTTGTTTGGTTTGATGTGAAAATTTGTAGTTGCCAGTAACTGATGCTTTTATGCAGCTTTGTAAAAAGGTAAAGCTGTCCATTAGGAACAAAGAAACACAGTAGTTACAATGTCTATATCCACATAATAAAGTGTTTTGTCTAAAATATATAGATAAATCTAATACAAAGTGACTTTTTCATGCAAATCTAACACTTAGTATCAGCAAGGCTAACCAAATAAGAATTTTAAAGACAAACATCTATTATGCAGCCCTAAAAAATTGTATCAGACTGTACTGCTACTCTAGCTATTCTATTCAAAACTCTGTATTATTATCAACAAGTTTCATACAAAATGCTGCAGAAAAACACCAAACGTTTTAGTCCTCTCACGTGACCTGATTTGATGCAAATTGTGACTATGATCACGATCACAGTATGACATTTTTCAGGGGCAGTGAAAAACAGATAAACAAAACTATTGAGAATATGAAAAATACCCTCTTCCATCGCTTTGTCCTAAGTAGGAGGAGGATGTATAGCCTCTTCTCCTCAAATCTGGTTGAATAATGCTCTGGAAGCTGGAGGAGAAGAAGAGAGAGAGAGAGAAAAAAAAAAAAAAAAAAAAAAAAAAGGTAGTTATGTTCAATGGATGGCGAAACATAGCTTCTAGATTTTGGGACTGCAAGGTAAGAGGTGGGCTAAAAAACCAGTAGTGTTAGGAGTGAATAGTATCTTGTCAAGATTATTGTTGTTTAATCTTTGTAATTTTTCTTCTATGCAGAATTATAAAATTGCAACACAGTCCTAAGTAACAATACAGCTCAAAGAAACCAAATTGTCAAGTATTTAAAACTGAACATTATTCTTGTGCTAAATAAAGTGCAGGCAATATAACTGTAACTAAGATAATGAAGGACTGTTGAAGACATCAAAATAACTATTTCTTTAGCTTCTGAGGGCATGCATATAAGATTACTGCTGTGTGAGTATTGTTATGCAGCAAGAAACCATTGCCAGTAGTAGAAATCCACCAAATAATACTTCAGTTTGATCAGCCATTAAAACCTTAACAAAAATGCATGCAGTTTTTCCTTTTCAGTACTGAAATGGAAGAAATGCCAGTTCTTTAGTATCGCTTTTCATACACTTTGTATTAAATATGTGCATCAAGTGCTTCATAATTGAGACCATGTAACAATATTAAAACATTGATAGATGTTTTCCAGACCTTTGTCAGTGGTAGTCAGCAGTAGAATAATGGGCATGAACTGGAACATAGGAAGTTCCATATTAATGCAAAGAAGAGTGATGGAGCACTGCAACAGGTGAAGCTGTGGATTCTCCTCTGGAGATATTCGAAACCTGTGCAACCTGCTGTAGGGAACCTGCTTTAGCAGAAGGGTTGGACTTGAGGGGCTCTGGGGGTCCCTTCCAGCCCCTACAACTCTGATTGTGTGAATAGTACCTATGGAATGCTACAAATAAATCCAGCGTCTTTGTGGTACTGCACTACTGATAGTACTTATCAGCATCAACATATGACAAGTTTAAAATAAAGTTCATCAAAAGAATAGTTGTTTTTTTTTTTTTTTTTTTTTACTTACAACATAACTACAAAGTCTGCTATCGACCAGAAGAAATCTGTTATGGATGAGAAGCTCCAAGGAGCCCGGCTCCGGTTATCCAAAACTTGTCCTGTTACGTGGCAAGACAGGAAACATTCAGCACTGTTTATTGAATTACATCACTATGTGACTTGAAATCGTATCCAGACAGGATGGAGGACTACACCCCGTGCCTAAAGGTTTACCTAAGTACGAGCACGCGGTTCTCGGAACAGTTGGAGCTGAGCGTTAGACGCTGCATAGGGGCACAAGCGCGCACAAGAACACACGCCGAGCACGGAGCAGCGCGTGAAGCTGGGGGAGCAGGGCGGGGACGACGTGTTGTAGAGCCGGAGATGCGCGAAGGGGGTCCGCTGCAGCTCCGGCCCGCACCCCTCGCCCCACCAACAGAAGCTGCTGCCTTAAGGCCGGACCACAGCAGCCACTGCAACGCTACCGCCCTCGCATCGCCCCTTCCCGACAGCCGCCGCTCACCGTTAGATATGTACACCATCGCGCCGCGCTCCTACCGCTGCCCCGTCACCTGCCCCTGCCTACGGCGCGTGCGCGTCTCGCCCGCGCGTGCCCAGAACGGGCGGCCGTGGGCGGCGCGCAGCCGCGGTGCCGGCTCCGCGCTTGAAGCTGACGGGGCCGAAGGGAACGGGGTGGGCGGTGCGGCGGCGCTGGGCGGGACTTGTCTCCCTGGTGCTGCAGCGCACAGCACGCCTTGAGGACGGTTCTTCAGCTGCCTCGTGGCAGGCCGGGGCGTTGTTCCGTCACAGCGAGCTCTTCTGCTAGTGGTTGTAAGCAGCTGTGAAAGAAAAGTATCTGTAGAAACGTGCATAAAATAAAAGATTTGTGGCTGAGACAAGATTTAGCTAATCCACCGTTCAACAATTGGGAAAAATGGAAGGGTTTAGAAAATAGCGAGTGCTTTGTAGTTAAATGTACAAATGCAAGCAGTATGTTGAAATTCTTCAGGGACAGCATCCAATCCTTTTCTTAATTAGGTATGCTTACAACATACTTTTTTTTTTTTTTCTTTTTTTTTTTCTTTTTTTTTTTTCCAAATAATAGCAAATTTTCAGCTTAGAAACTGCAGAGCAAAGTAAGAAGGTGTAGAAGAGCAGCGGAAGTTCAGTCACTTCAGCATCATTTTTCTAGTCTGAGTGAATCCAGATAAATGGAAACATACAAAGCGTGAAAGATGTACTGGTGTACTTTTAATTTATGGAAGGCATTGCAGATTTGGTACCATGTGTTAGGGGATATTGTGTAAATACTACGTGTGTGTGGAAAGGGAATACGTTACTTAGAAAAGATATTGTCAAATGATCCTGAAATAACCGTACTGAGGGAAGGTATGCGACAAATGCACACTCATTTGTTTACATGCTAAAATGTGAAAATTACATCATCTTCCTTTTCAGTGATTTTGTTTCTTTTTTCAACAGGCTTTGAAACAACTACCGAATTACCTTATAGAGAGCTGTTGTACAAGCTGTAGATATGTTTGCCAAGAAGAGCATGAACACAGGGCTGATAGCAATGGGAAAATAGAGGCAATAAATTGTCATAAAGTAGGTATCGTAAATTTTACGATGTACTGAGAACATATACAAAAGGACTCTTACCTGTGGAAAAACGAATGTAAGGTCCAAACTTTTCACTGTAGTTTAGACAGAAACATGGTAGCAAACATGAATAAGTAATTATTCCACATGAACTTGTACTCTTTATGCGGTTGATACTGGCCTGCACAAACTCTTCTAACAACATTTTGAACAGCTCATTCCTACTTTTTAAGTATTGAATTTTGAAAGGAACATGTTAGTCCTGTGGAAAGGAACAATGTATTTTTTGTTTTTCAAATGACAACAAAACAAGCACAACAACAAAAAAGCAAATGGTTATTTTTAAAAGGTTAAATCGCATGTGAGGTGGTCTTGGCTTATTTCACTAACTTACCATCTCAGTGTCATAAATTTAGATAATTGCAATACAAATGTTCTATATGAAATGTATTTTTGATGAATATAAATCTATTAAAGAAATACATTTTTTGAACTCAGATTGCTTGTCGTTGTGTATTCCTAGTGTAGATAAATTTTGTCAGCATATCCGGGTAATTAAGAGTGGTAAAAATAAGTTGCCACTATGTAAAATGATACGTGAAAATGTAAGCATTTGTAACAGTTTTTAATTGTTCAAATATGCACTAATTTTTTATTTATGTACATCTTTGAGATTTAGACATGAAAATGTGACATTTAAAAGGTATGGTTAAAAATAAATTGTAGCATAGTGTTATTAAGCATGCTACCTGTTGGTCTGTGTTTGGGTCAAGAATGGATTAGAGAATAGGAATGTGAGGAATTACTTGTGTTTTGGTGCTGACGAGGAAGCATACGGGGACAAAAGCTCAGGTTGAAACTGTTTAATGGTGGCTGCCCTGCCCTCGCCACCTGCTCACAGCAGCTACTCCCTCCTAGGGTGGGCTCTGGGGAATCTTTGTTATGTTACAACTGTTGCCATGCCTCTGATATTTTCTGACCCTCCCTTGTGCTTTCAGTCTGCGTGCCTGGCATTGGGGAGTTCAGAGGACAGCAGCAGCTGCAGCGCACCTGCTCTTGAAACACAGCAGGAGGCATTTTTAAAGTTCTAAACAGAAATAGAAAACTGCCAGATTGCCTTCCTGAACGTGAGTACAGCTGTACAGTGCTTTGTGGTTGGTGGTGTTGTGTTTTGTTTTTTTTTTTTTTCCCCCGGCCTGTAGAATCTCTTCTCGTCATGTAATTTAAAAGGAAACGTGTAGTGGAACTGCTGAGTCACAGCCTGAACCAGTGATTGAACACCTGGTGGGAAGGCGGGGCCAACCCAGGGGAGCTCAGGAGTATGCAATGCAATGCACCTGAGTGACTAGAAGGGATAAAGCTAGGATACACCCCTTCCCAGACTTCATTTAAGGCAGTGGAGCTAAGGGTATTTTGTTGGAGATCCCTGTATGCCTGAGGCCTTCTGAAGGTAAGCAGCTGTTTTCCTTTGTTTTTGCATCTATGGATGCTCTATTTGAGTAAGTTCTCACTTGCTGTGCCCTAGGACATACTACTCCACTGTTAATGCTGTGCTTTCAATTGCATTTCAATGTTTCAACATGCAAAATTGAAGTTTGAATTACTCATGGAAGAGCTGATTGTTTTGTTGTACTTGCCTTTTGTGTACACAGTTAATGCTTTATGTATTAAAGGAAGAAGGTCTTCTGAACACACGACCAAATTTCAAATGTGGAATGTTAATTGCATCCTTAGAGATGAAATTCGGGTGATATGTCATATTATTCTATTTTATTTAATAGCTTTCATCAGGGATAGATATATGCATCTATATATAAATTTTGCGTGTGCATATGTGAAAGAGCTAAAATTCTGTTTTCCTTAGAACAAAATAACATTGATTTGAAGTCAAAATTTTAAACAGGTTACCTGTTTGGATAAGCTTCAGTTCTGATTAAATGATTAGAAAAATACTTTTTCTAATTTTTTGTTTGCCTTAGCCAAGTATATCCTTATTTGTACTGTAGGGCTTTAGTTAAAGGGGAAAATAACTCATGTAAATTTTATCTTGAAGATGTGTTTTGCAAAATCAGGAGCTCAAAAATCTGCCAAAATCAGTCAAGAAAACAAACTCCTTATGCTAAGAACTGTTTTCCCCCCCACCTGGGTCAGAAGCCAGGTGTTCCAGTGAGAGTGTGTCTGAGATCTGCTTTCATTATCCTACTTGTTAGTATCTGAGTAACAAACATGATGAGGCTTTGGTGTAAGATTACTATGGTTAGTGGTCTGAAAGCAAATATATTCTGAAGTAATGTCTAAAGATTGCCTTTATGTTTATTTTGCTAATTAGAAAATAGCATGTCTATATGTGTAGGAACACGTAACTTTCTGTAATGTTATGTACTTTTCATGGTAATAAAGCCTTGAGCTATGAGTAATGTGAAATGCTTGGTTTTGAAGTTATTTGAAATTCCAGGAAAAAGCTTCCATATTCTTCCACCCAGGGGGAACAGTCTGCTACGTGTTGTCTGCAGGTGTATTCTGTAAGTGGCCAAGCTACATGAGCAGTAGTGAAAAGAACACCCAATTCACTGAGGAACATTGAGTGGTGGTGATACTTCGAATAGCCGTTAGGTGGCAGCGTGTCAAATAACACGAGCTGCTTTCTCAAATTACAGAGCAAGTTTTCTACCAAGTTGGTCATAGTGTGTTTGGCTTCCGCCAGTTTGCTAGAAACTTGTCATGCGTAAGTGGCAAATTCTTACTAGATTAAGAAATGGTGTAGAATACATAGATAATGTTGGGAGTTTGTTAGAGGCTCATGTTAGTAGGGTCTTGAGTTAAGCTGGGGAGCTCCTTGTGTATTTATCCTAGACGACAAAGGGAAAGGTACTGTGGAAACAGAGGGTTAAATTTCCTTCTGGATGCATAATTAATTTTTAGTGTAGCTTTTGACATTGAAGATTTTTTGCTTTGTGTAGTGTACTTAAATCATATTTTGGAGTCATATATTTTTGTGCTTTTTTTTTTTTCTTGTTTTATGTCAATTAGATGAGAGAGACCAAGAACTCTACTGTGTGCTTGCAAACTCCTATTTTTGTTGTTACCTATGGCTATTTCAAACAAATGAAAAAATATGAGAGCAGTAGGATGAATGTAGATAGTTAAAAAACAAGGCAACACACAAATATTTACAGAAATATTTTGGTGTCCAAAATGGTAATAACATGCATATTAAAAAACATAAATTAGAATCATAATATAGATATGTTTGATATTTTTCTTTTGAAGTGCAGTAGGTAGGAAAAATAAGCATCAGGTAGGTCTTCTGTAAGTAAAACTCGTTTCCTCAAAGTTATTCAGCAAACAAATGACAAAGCCTGTAACAGAACTTTTTTCATCATTAACAGAAGTTCCCATGTGCTATCATGGGGGTATTTGTCTAACTCCTTTCTAAGGACAAGTAATGTTGGATTCAGTTCTAATCAGCAGCACTAAGCATCAGTTCAAATCAATCTTATGAATGAAGTCAAGTGCAGATGTGAAAATGTAAGCATTTTGAACCAAAATGTGCCATGATTATCTTTATTAGTTGGGGTCAACCTGCTTCTTCAATCAATCTATGCTGATGCTATCAGGATAGCCAGGCTACATAATCTATTGGAAATTCTCTAAATGATGTTGGATGTCATTTGTAAAGAGCTGTAGTTGGCTGTGACTCATGAAGAAAATATTCCTGAGCATTTCCCATCTGCAACAAGGTTCTAGGCCAGTTTTTACCCAGCACTTTCCTTGATGTGTAAAAAAGGGAAGGCGATCAGTATTTGAATCTCCATACAGCTGCTAGAGTACACAAAAAACAAGGATGCTGCTCTTCACCAAGCAGAAGATCCCTAGGTGTGTGGCAGCAAGATAAGCAGGTGGCTGTTGGTAATCAAGTTCTCTTGGGTGTTATCTTAACTTGAAAATCCTTACTGATCCCTTCAAACTGTCACAATTTTTGAATCATTAAGAAG